CTATTTCTGTTTCTTAATTTTTTATTTCTTTTGCAATGTTCTTTGGAGACATTCAACTTAATAGCTATGTTCATTAGGTCTGTATTGTAGACTTCCATTCTAGTGCACTATTATCATCCATGTAAAATAATTGTAAGATTTACTTTGAAACCGAGTCACTGTTATTTCTTTTTCTTGAAAACTGGGGGCTTTTTTAAGGTTTCCTCTAATGGGATTTTCTTAAGATCGTAGCATTAGGGTGGTGATAAATTCCACTACTATGATTTAGTTCTGTTAAAATAATCATAAAAAATAACCAAAAGGATATCTAGAAAATGGAAAAAAAAAATACAGAAAACAGAACATTAAGTGGTAATGATTAAATTGGCTGTTTTTTTGCAGTTGCATGGGACAGTCATGAATGTAAAGTTTAGGAAAAGGTACTTTTATGTCTTCTCTTCCGTCTATTGTCATTTTGGGAACTATACCGGAGGAGTCTTTTGTGGTACATAGTGCACAGCTGGACCATCTACAGATCATTCACGAAAACGAATGGTAGAGATCAACTAAAAGCTACCTATGATGGACACATTTAGATTTAATCTGCACCTTCCATTGTGGAGAATGGTCAGTGGATGCCCCAGATGTGTATCGCATACGGGCTGTATATATATGCTTTCCTTTTTAGCTTTGATAATAGATTTTGCACCGTCAAAGTTTGGAAAAGGAATGGTAAAACCCATATTTGATAAATTTGCAATTGCGTGTCATTACTGTCACTGTTTAGGACGGTGAGAACGAGGAAGATCGGTTCCTTTGATGCTCGCGACATTTTCGAACAATATGGGTCTGAAGAGTGGGGTGAGTATGTGATTGGTGAGGCGCATTTATCGCAGAGGTTCAAGTATGAACGAAGTGGCTACTATCATCGTTGCGCTTCAATTCCCTTCCCTTAGAGCCTGGAAGATTAATAGTTCTTTTTTTTTCTTTTTCTTTTTATTTACGTGTTCAATAAGTGTTTTTATTGGGTAGTGTTTGAATTAGGATTTTGTCTCTCTTACTGTATGGATTGTAAATCAGATTATGCAATTATTTTATTTTCAAAGAAGAAAAATCTAATTGTGTTTTTCATTTCTTGATGTATGCCCTTTTTGTTACTAAACAAAATTCATGCTTCACCTTCATCGCTCATTGTTGGGAACCTTTGTGGATGCCCTGTCTATGCACATGTACATGCTGTGTATGTGATATACTTCCCTTCCCAACAAACAAAGTGGTCGTTACAAAAGATTTTCCATGTTTCTGATCAAGATTTTTAAGGTCAAGGGGGATATTAAATGTAATCTGATTATAGGTTCGTTGTACATATGTATATGTCTGGGATTAATAGCTATTTAATTTTGGTTAGATATTCAAAAGTATGTCGATAACAATATCGCATGTCAATACTAGTTATTTTTATGGGGTTATAAATTTTTGATATTGAGAAGTGATATTATTTTAGTCTGGTTATAATTTTTTAAAATTGAAATGTAGCATTGAAAATATTTGATATTATTAGTAGTCGACTGTTAGCTTTCTGCTGAAGGTCGGATAGTTTCCCCTTAAGCACGTTTTAACTCCTCCAATGGGAATATTTAATATCTTGGGAAATGATGGGATGCCCAAATGCTAAAAATCAAAGGGGGGGGGGGGGGTGGTCAGTGCTGACGCAACGATGTTCGATGGTCTTACACGCGATTTAGGTATGGTCTGAGCATAGAGATCCTAGTGAGAGAAAATCGCAATAAATGTCATAAAATATGTGTTTCTTCGTTACATGCATGGGCGAAGATATTTCTAGTGAGAAAAACCATGCAACAAATATAATGCAATTGTTTAATAACGAAAAAGTTTATATAAGGGTGAGGCTGTAAACAATTAAATTAAGGCTGACTTCAAAAATTCGTTAGAAAATCTTATTTTGATACTAAAAAATCTTTAAATTGATCATCTTAATCTCAAGAGCTATGGAAATGAGAAAAAATGAATTTAAGTCTTGGAAATAGTCTTATCTTGTAATATATTTTTGGACCGTTAATTTTCGAGTATTTATAGATCTATTCAAGTGTTCATAGATCTATTCGATATATATTATTTTAAGGGTGTGGTTTTTGCAACTTTAAACAATCACCTCCAAATTTTATTATAACATGTACTTTTGGCATAAAAAATTCTTAATATTATTTGAAAATATATTTTTATATTTAATTATAAAATTTTAAACTCAAAACTTGATTAAGTCAATTTGATTTATAAACATATAAAAATCTTGAAAATTGACGGTTTAGATAAAAATCTTGAAAATTTGACGGTCTGCAAACATATAAAAATCTCGAAAATCTGAGGCTCAAAATATTTTTCTTTTTCATATTGATATATGTGGTTTTTCAACATTAAAACAACCTTTTTTCCGATGGAGTTTTGAGGTGCATATGTAATTCTACATTTTAAGGTTGCAACTTCATGTAAACTTTTTCTTTTGAAGCTTTAAATTTTATAATTAGATATGAAAGTAAATTTCCAAACCTTCACAAAAATTTCTAATACCGAAAAACATATTCTAGCCGTATTTAAAGGTGCGGCCTACTTTGATTGTTTGGAGCGTCAGCCCTATATAAATCACACCCTTCCAAAAAAAAACACTTGCCAGGCAATATTCTAAGTGAACCAGTTCGACTTGGGAAATTCCGAAGCCGGATTGAGCTGTTCATTTATCATCCATGATTTGCTTCTAATGTGAATCTGAGAATGAACTACAGTTACCATGAATGCATAATTTATAAAAAAAAATTGATTACAATTTCAATGGCCAGAACGAATCTGAGAATAAACTACAGTTACCATGAATGCATAATTTATAAAAAAATTGATTACAATTTGAATGGCTACAACCGGGAAAAGTACAAACTGCACGCCCATAAGATTTGATTGCATCACAAGGCTACAGTTTCTTAGACATACCTGAACTATATTTACAGTAATGAAGCATGAACCATATTAATGTACTCTGTTCTTTCTTCCAAACAAGACAGACACCATTAACGCCAAACTCCACCATATTTTAGTAGTTTTAGTTGTACTACGTTTGTTTTCAAGCTTTTCTCCTTATTTTTTTTATAGAGAGAGAGAAAGAGAGAGGACATTTCAATCCTTTTTTTTATCTTTGTGACAATTACCCCTGATACATTATCTCTATCACAAAAAAAAAAATCTCTATTTTGTCATAGTAAATTTTTCCAATGTTGATAATAACTTTGATAATTTCCCCAAAAAAATTATTTTATCTTTTATCCTCTTTTCTTGAATGTTAAGTTGGGATGAAACTCTATACGTCATGTTGTGGCACCCGCCACTTTTACCCTCTTTGCCTAGAGCACATTTGCTCAGTTAAAATCAATTTATTAAAATATTTTTATGCTTCTATTACTATAAAAATACAATTTTTCTCTTGATAATAAATATGAAAGAGACTCATCATCTACATAAAAACAACTCAAAGAATCAGTTAAGGCAGATGGGGAAAAATTTGTAAGAAAGTGATAATTTGACATGTATGTTAAGCTAGTAATTTGGGAAGTGAATTTTGATATTTTAATTTCTTTATATACTAGAAACTGTTTCCAACTTTATCATTTATGTAATTTTCTGATTTGTTGAATATGTGAATTGCTTATAATTTGATTTCACATTTTACTTATCTCACTAAAAATTTGTTCCAAAATACATAGTATATTAAAGTCCCAATAATCATTCAATAAAATCCTGAAAAAAGAGATAATCATGATATTATCCTGAAATTCCTTGGTGATAATATCCCGATAAAAATAATTGTCACTACAATTCTTGTATATCATGTGTGTTTGTATGCAGTAGGGATGGCTATCTTACTATACCACTTTCTCTTGGGGAGAGATAAGGGCAAGGGCAGGTGGGGGTGGGGCACCAGTGCTGAGAGATGGGGAACATGGCTTCTGCCTCCCTCCTAAAGAAAAAGGAACCCTAAATGTCAAGGTTTCTACTTTCCAATTTGTTTTTTCTTATTGTATAAGTCAGTCTGTGAACTTCCCTTGGGGCCCATTTGTGAGACTTTATATTTGGGTAGGTAAGCATGATATTTTCATTCAAAAAACTTAAGGATCCATGTCAAGGCATCCACACCACTATGCTGAGGCCCTAAAAAAGACCTAGTTTCCAAGATACTGTTTTCAAGTGCCCATTGTTAAGAATGTGGAGCACTTTATACTGTACTTCTCTTCCTTTATTGTATTGTAAATACAAAAATGTTTTTAGTGAGTCAGCCCATTCATGCATCCCTTTTCATGGTTATAGATCTCAAATCATTGGGTATCCATTTTCGTTCTGTATCTATGAATTTGGAGCTCCAAAAATAATGCACATATGATGTTTTTTTAAAAAATGATTTAAACGGTCGACATGAAAAGATACAAGATGGATCACTTTTAGGACTCGGACTTTTCTTTGTTATGTTTTTACAAATTTATTATTGTGGCTTTCGAGATGATAAATCCATAAAATTTTGGATCTAAATCATCCAAATGAAATCTAAGTGACTTATCTAGTTTTCCTTTACCAAAACCTGCTTTTTTACTTATCACTAATAAATAAAATTGACACAAGTTTTTCCATGTTTAACCTCGAAAAGGTCTTAATAGAAGGTTCTTATTTTTGTCCTTGATTGTGTGGGTTTGAAAAGAAGATAGCATTTAAAATATTTAAAAGACCAGAAAAAGAAAGGTGAAATTCTCCCTTATCTCATAGAGACTAGAACCAATGTATTCAAGACATATCAAGAGATGATAATGACAGTTGAAAATTGACGATAATGACAATTGAAATTTTTTATGATTAGTAGGGCATGAAAGTGGTGACTTTTAAAATTGAATTGATAGCATGAAAACTGACAAAAATTTCAAGGGTTTTGACTGTTGGGCAGTGATCAAAGTGTTGCCCAATTAACTTTAAGATTCAGGTGCCACATTATTAAGACATTATTCAGGAAAGGGGCTGGTCATGGTGGTAGCAACCCCATACTTAGTTATTACGTTGTGGTTTTCAATCCTGCTGACACCACCCACCGACACCTTCATACAAGCTGACTCTCTTATCGATATGAAAAAATTGATAGGGGCCTTTCTTCCCCACTGAATTACCTGCAAAAAAAAAGAAAAAAAACAAATTTCAATGGTGGGATAAGGACAACCAACCATTCCTCGTGAGCAATACTGCCTTCTGAAAAGATCCTCTTAGTTAACATAAGTAGCTAAGATTTGATGTGAGAACTGCATTCTTAGTTAACATAAGTAGCTAAGATTTGAGGTGAGAACTGCATTTTATATGAGATTTGGGATATAATTTTATATGAGATTTGGGATATAATTCTCTAGAAGGTGGTTTTCCATTTAACCTTTGTTCTTTCTTGGTGCTTAGTGTATCTTGATTCATGTCTTCTGCTTTTTTTTTGTTTTACAAGTAATGGATTAATGCTAAATATTGCTTCATTAATATCTTTAGGTCGAAGCATTTTCAAGAACGTGGTATTCATTTGAAAGGCTACAACACATGAAATCCTAACATTTTCGTCATGCATAGCTTGTATTTGCTTAGTTATAGTACCAGGGGCATGCTTAGTGGAATAGTGAAATTTGATTGACATTAAGCGGCATGTATAAAGTAGATGCTGGTCCTATTGATCCTTGAGGTGTAGATGTTTTTTTTTTTAAGTGATTATCAGTATTTTTGTAAATGATCTCTTAAGCCATAATGGGCTGCTTTAATTTATTCCATCATTTGTGGAAACAAAGTAGACATCTTTAGGAAACTATCGACCACATTTATGTTACACATAAGCTATTTTTGAATTAGTTTCTTTTAAAGGGACCATTAATGGTGTATTCTTTATTATCTTTGGATTTAATATTTATTAGTTCTAGATGAATCCTCTCTCTGTTTGCATTCTTAAAGTTGTTTGATGCGACGGTTTGATTAGTGCAGCTTGAGACAACAACTACTTATCTCTAGTATCATAATCTAGATATGGGAGGTCTTGGAGTTGCAGTATGTGCTCATGCGAAGCATGTTTCAATAGCCGTTGATTAATCGCCATGGTTGGTGTTTGAGTATTAGAACATAAAGTATCAAATTTGAAATCTTACACATAGATTTCCAAATTAATGATGGGTGTAGAACTTGTGAGTTATGGCTTAACGAGCATAGAACTTATGAATTAAGGAGCCAATCAGTAGCTACGAGGTCCTTAAGCTACGTCCGACTTTTTTTCATCCACTAAGATGTAACCGAGGCGTATGGATTTTTGTGGGTAATGCTGGTATGGATGCTTTTGTCGTCTGAAAGCACATAATTGTGAGTCTTGATTGATCCGTTGCAAGTTCTCCATAAACCAGCAATATAGAAAGAATCTTCTCTCTATGGAACTCAAATAACACCTGGAATAACGGAAAATATCAGCAAATGGAGGAGAAATAACTTCAACAAGGGATGAATGAGAAGGCAAAAGCTAAAACAAAATATTTTTTCAAAATAGAGAAAGCAGTCAATAGCTATGAGGGAGCTCATTACGGCTCAAACCTCTCTATAGATGCTTCATATTCTGTCAAAAAACTCTTGACTAAATTTGTGCTTCAAAAAAACCTTGATCTGAAGCTCCTTAACTTTCCTATTTTTAGAGATTTTGGGAACTGGGTGCAAGCGATTTTTGTAATTGGGAGCATGCATGAGAGAGGGCTGTGTTCTCTATCTTAAGCTAAACAAAGTTATTGAGCTTAAATAGGTTAGTGTCTTTTGTATAGCTGACCCCAAATAGTTGGGATAAGGCTCAGATGATGATGATGATTGATATGAGTCTTTTAAGGGCTGTTTTGTGTCCATTTATAATGTTGTTTAGTAAAATCTTATCTTGATTTGATATGTTCATTTATATTCCTTCTGAACAATGGTTTCTGTCTATTTTTTTCGTTTATATAGATATAGCAGTCTTAAATATCATGTATCAAATTATTGATCCACATATGCGGGTTGACACACCTTTGATACGCTTCATTAAAGGAAAAGGGTATGGCTGTGAATGATCATGCACTACCTTTTGTTTGTTTCTAACTGCATATATCCTCTCAATTGTACAAAAGTTTGTTATGAGATTTCTTATTATTAGAATATGCTGGTACTAGCATAAATTCTCCACAGTGGCTGATTTTTTGAACATTCCCCCTCAGGGGAAATACACAAAAGCAAATTGAGATGGAGACTGGAGTAAAAATCAAATTTCCATTGTCAAAAGAGGAGACATCAATTGGTAGCCATCTCCACAGTTTTTTGTTTATTTTTCTATTTAATTTTGGTTTTCACTATTGAACGAGAGTCAGCTCTAGTGATTAGTTTACATTTGGAATTGGAATTTATTTTATTTGCTTTGTGTGTAACTACACACATGGTATATTTTCATTTATATCCTGTTAGGACTAAGGCATTCACTCAACATCGCCTTTACAACTTTTGGCTCTTTGTTAGATCCTTGAGTCATATATGTGATCAATATATCTTTGGATTTCTATCCTAATGCTTTTTTTTTTTTGGTAAGATTCCTAATACTGTACGTAAAGTATGTAAAGTAGTGCATATATAGTAGTGTTATATGCGTAAGATATTCCTTCTTGTTGTGTAAGAACACCATCAAGTGTGTTCTTTGACATGAAACTTTCAACATGGCATCTATAGGTATTTCTAGAGAAGTGCCCGTCCTTCATATATGGTTTACACTATTGGTTTACCCTAATACTGTATATACAATAGCGTAAACCATATATGAATGACCGGCTCTTCTTCAAAAATACCTATACATCATACTTGATGGTGATGCTTCTTGACCAAGATAGAATATCTTTTGCATATATGAATGGCTGGCTCTTTTCCAAAAATACCTATACATCATACTTGATGGTGATGCTTCTTGACCCAGATGGAATATCTTATGTCATCATCATCATCCAAGACGTAATATCTTATGTGGATTTCAATTCTGTGTGCTTAACATCCATCATGCTTATCATTACGTGGCACATCGGTAGTCTTTGATTGATGAGTAATCGAAATGGAATATGCAGAGAAAGTGTGGGGAAAGGGCCTATAAAAGGTTGGATATGATTTTTTCAATAATTTTCTGGTCGGGAATGACAAGAGTTTATGCGACTAAGCATAAGGACAAACCACCGGCGGCTTTACATCTATTTTCAAGATTTCTTCTTCCAGATTTGTGCGACCATTATATCACCGACAATCTCTGACCATCCATCTGTACGCAATATCCACCATCCAGAAAAGCAACAAAATGGAACTGAAACCCCTTTGAAGTCCAGAGGCTAGAAATAGCCAAGACCTCCGAAAGCGGAAGAGCTCAGACTTCTCTCTCTCTCTCCTTCTCCTAGTCTCAGACTTTGTCTCTCTTCTCTCCATTGTAAAATTCTCTGTAAGATTTGTGATCGTAATATAGACGATCTGCCTGTCTATTACCCAGCCGGGTGGAAACTATTCTGCAGTTATTGTATCCGTAAACAGTAAGCTTTTTCATTCCTTTCTGTAATATGTTTTATATGAGTTTGTAATATGCTTGTATGATGTCATCCATGAGTCTATATTCATATTTATAAAATATGTGGTTGAAAGCCGTCTTTAGCATTAAATTTTTTCAGTCTACATATACTACTTGGATAGTCTTAGATATTGCTCCATTCTCAATATTTATGATTCTAGTCATATTTATATATTTCCGATATATTAGAATGTTAGTCTAATTTCTGTTATAAATTGTTTCAAATTTCTGTTTCCAATTCGATCTTGGTGTTGATGGTATCAGAGCCAGAATAGTATTACTTCTCATCTGCAATATGCAGATGATACATGTATTTTCTGTGAAGCTAACTTCAATATCGGTGAAGAGCTTATACCTCTTTCTGAGATGCTTAGAGTTAGCTTCAGGCATGGTAGTGAACATTTCAAAAACAAAGTTCTTGGGTGTCTCAGTCCCTGAACCTGCAAGCCTAGTGGGATGTGTAGGGAGGGGAAAATTAACAAATAAGAGCCATGGATTGCCGATGGGCAAAGGCCACCCAGCCAAGGCACGATAGGGAGGAGTTATAGAGAGAGAGTCCAAAACAAGTTAGCATCTTGGAAGCTTAGGGTTCTGTCAATGGGAGCCATTGCTCTTATTAAATCTACCCTTTCAAACCTTTGTATTTACAATATATCCTTGTTTCCGATCCTTGCTTCAGTGGCAAAAGAAATTAAAAAGCTTGCGAGGAATTTATTTACTTATTTTTCTACGGATGGTGATGTGAGAAGGACGATTTTCTTCTGGTGAGATGGGACAGTGGGTGCAAACCGAGAAGTAAATAAGGCCTAGGAATCAGAAGAAATAAAGAAATGAATCAGGTGTTGTGAGCCAAATGCTAGCAGATGTTTGGAAGCTGGGACTTAATCATACCATCTTTGAGAACAAGTTATTTAGAGCAATTAGGGGAGAGATATTAGGATTTTTTTTTGAAACCATATGAGCATAGCTCTAGATTCTCAAGGGTTTGGAGAGGGATTAACGGAATTAGATATGCTTTCATTAGCTTGATCAGATTCTAGGTTGGAAATGGAAGGTAAACTAAGTTTGGGCTTAATACATGGCTGGGGGAGTCACCTCTTGTTAGTAATTGCCCTGTCCTGGCCGAAAATCTGGAGGTATCAGTGACTGATCTAATGGTGAAGGGCTTTGATTGACTTTCAAATCCTCTCTTTGGAGACCCTTTGAAGAAGATGAATTCAAAGCCTTTAAGAATTTTTTGGTAGAGCTATGGGGAATCTTCTTTCAGGCCTGATAGAAAGACAATCTCATATGATCCCAAGGGTGAATTTTCTGCAAAATCATTGTATCGAGCCATGACCTGGTGCTTGGAAAAGAACAACGCCAGAAACAGAGTGTGAAGTATTCCTTGGCCATTCCAAAACCAAGTCCTTGCATGGTTCATGATCCTTGATAGTGTTCTAGCTGTCGACCACGACTGGTTGAGGAGTAACCGTACCCAATGTATGTCTCTATTTCTATTGTGCAGGGTAAAGAGAAGCAGTTGGCCATCTTTTTCTGCGTTTCTCGTGGCTTCAGAGATATGGACCTTTACACTGAAGCAGTTCGCTTCATATGAGTACAGCAATCCGTAAAAGCACTTTTTTGCAGTGGTTCGCCGCTTACTCATTGTTAGGGAAGAAAGGACTAATACTTTGGGGCTGACCGTATTAGGGGCACTGTATATAACATATGGTTAGAGAGGGAGAGGATATGCTTCAAAGATCAAAAGTGAAAGATGGGGAGGGCCAAAGAGAATCTCAGGACATTAACCGTCTCTTGGGAGAGTATTAGAAAAGATTTCAAAGGCTATTCTCTGGAAGACTTTATTTGTGATACTTTGTTCTTCTTGTCTTTTCTGTTTGAATTGGATATGTGATCTTCGTCATATCTTGTGTGAATGTGACTATGACTTTCGTTTATTTTCATCTGCAGTGGCTGAGGGTTCTTCGGTTGGAAATGTGTCCAGAGCTTCAGAGCAGGTAAATACTATTCTTGAGGAGGTTTGTTTCTATTTCAGCATCATGTTCTAAGGGTTTCTATCTTGTGGAAATCTGGTTTTAGGTGTCAAAATTGTGTCGTCTTGATGCTAGCTGCTTACCAGTTCATCTCGTTGCTTTATGCAATGTGGCTCCACTCAGCAAATTAAAGCACGTGCTTTTTAAAGTTCACACCATCTTGGAATATTAAAGTAGTTAATAAATTTTGGGAAATCTATCTTTATTGTTCTGATAGAGCAAGGCGTAGTATTTTGGTTGCCTACAATATCTGTTTCTTTTTAATTCATTTTGGGTCCTGAGGACTGATCTTTAAGACATCTTGAGTAGTATAAGAATGATGGATATGCATTCACACTTGAATATTTTTAATTTGCATGCATGACTACGTATGTTGTTCCACTCGAGTAATCATCTTTGTTTTATGGCTGGTGAGTGCAGGCAGATTACTCCCATTTCATATCTCTACCTTTGGCAGTTCACCCTGGACTTGTAGAAAAGCTACAGAATTTTCAGAATTCAATATTGGGAAATTTAGATAGTAGTCAAGGTAAACAAGGGAGTGATTCAAATGAAGGAACATCAGATGAAGTAGATTGTGATGGCCTTGTTGGTGGAGATTCTTGTGTTTCTGTTCAATGACTGTTTATCTTGTATATGGAGTTTCCCTTTTTTACAATGATTTTTTCTTGTTCCATTTGATTTTACAGGCACATGTATCGTTTCTCATTCTACTGAGATCTTTATATGTTTATATTGAGGGTTCCAACTTGAATTGACGATAGATAAAATCATCAACTTAGTTTTCTGCCTCTTTCTTTCTACCACCCCCACCCACCCACCCACCCACCCACACCCAGACACACACTAAGAAAAAGAAAAGCCTGCTTAACTCGGTTTATCTTCTACACTTTGTATGTTGTAGTCGGTTTTTTGTGTCCAGTTTCATTTCATGACATTATTCTCTAAGCATTCGTAATCTTTCGCCCTTTTCCCCCCTGCTGTTGTCCAAGATATTTAACATGACATTCTGAAATAGAATGGTAAAAGAGGCTACATTTGTAAATATGCTTGATTATTCTATACCGTCTTCCATGAATGTTCTAATAAATTGCAACCATCCACTAGAAAGATTTGCTCATCATGCCAAGCCTATTAATGCTCACCTTCTTTTCTCTACGACTCCTTTTCTACTGTATATATATCATTCTCCTATGAAACGCTTAGGTTTCGTGTGATTTTTGGAATTGCTGAGTGTTCCTATGGGACTGTGTATGTGTGTGTGTGTACACACATATTTGGGTGAGGTTTATATAAGGCACCCCCCTTATACTATATAGGTAAGGTGCGCCTCTAAATTTTACCCAAAGATGTAGTTCTTAAGTTGGAAACCTTATGATGCCTTGAAAATCCATGTTCCAACCCTAATTATGAAATCTAAAATTTCGAAAATGTTACAAATTGAGCATATTTATAAACAATTGAAAATCTTGAAAATAGACGATAACTTGATAGAAGATGCACTATTTTTAGGACTTGAAATTCTTTTTTTCTTTATATCTTGATATGATCAATTGGAAGGTTTTCCAACTTCGGAAAGCTCTTTTCTATTGGATCTTTGTGGTGCATGTTACTTCTATAGTACAAGGTTCCAAGCTTATATAAACTGTTTCCTATATATATATTATTTTTGACAACGTCCTATTTTCTCATTTTACAGACTTGGGAATCGATAAATCCATATTTATCAATCCAAAAACATTTCATTTGACTGTTCTCATGCTTAAATTGTGGAATGAGGAACGCGTTGCTGCAGCTGCTGAGGTTTTACAGGTAGAGGATCAATCCATTCAAAAGTATTATATGTACTAATGGTAGGAGTTCCAAGGGTATGATTTTTTTGCTGATACATGCAGAAAGTCTCTCCAAAAGTGATGAAAGCTTTGAAAGACCGTCCAATTTCCATCAGGTTGAAAGGGTTGGTATGTTTATTTTATTTTTTCCTTTTACTTCTACTCAAAAGTTCACGATTTCCTTTCCTTTTCTTTCTTTTATTTTGTTTTATTTTTCTTTTTGGTGGCGGGGGATGTATGTATTATCATTCAATGAATCTTTGAGTTTGATGTTTCGATTATATTTTCCTCAAGATTAGCATGTTGCTTCATGTACCAGGTGAAGGCAGTAGGGTGTTAAATAAAAAAACGATGAGTAAGAAAAAAAAAACTTAACCATTTGAAGGGTTTACCTATTATTAATGATTTCTTGGTCTCAAGCGTTGCCCTATAATGTTCCATTCTTTTTTTAATATGTTTCTCATATGTTAATGTGTTTTCATAATCTTTTGTTGAAGCTTAGTTTCCTTGTGTCAGATGTTTGCTCATAATTTTTTATTGTTGGGTAATGTTCCTTGTAGTGTTTGTTCTCAACACCTCATCTTTACAATGTAATGTATTAGAGGCACTGCTGCACTGAGTCGTATTCACTTCTACTATCTAAATGCTTGCAATGGTTTATTGTCTAGCATAATTTTATTAGGATTTTCTTACGGATGAACTTTGTATTTTCAGTAGTTTTGTCATGACATGGTTTGAACTTGAAGCTACGCTAAACTGGTTTGTATATCATGCAGTTAATGCAATAACGTTTCCTAGTTCAAGTTCTGAGCTAGAATAGGAATTTGCTTCGGCAGTGGATGATTTTTTCCCCTCATTTCTCTGCATGGATTTTACTATTTAGGTTTAAAATAGCTGGATTATGATTTTTTTGGAGAGATTGCTTGGTTTTGTTGGTCTCGTATATATTGAGATTTTGCTGTTTCTTACATTTTCCTTTTAATAGTTTGTTGAATGAGGCAAATTACTTCTCAAGTGGAGTTAATGTTGTGTGTAATAATATGTTGAAAATGATGGATCACTGAAATCCTTATAAATAAAGATTCTAATGGCTAGTAATGATGCCTTTTCCTTGTTTAATCTTCTGATGGGTCTTGGGGCCTCATTGAATCACACTACCCTTAATTTTCTTGATTATTGTATTGCATGTAGTTTTTGTGATATCACTTAGATTTGCAGATATTCTTAATCTCCAGTCTTGGATGACTTCATGTTAGTGTGTGTGTATGAGGTGAATTTTCAGGAAGTGCATTGTTTCTCTCATGTACAGGACTGCATGAGAGGTTCAGTTTCAGAAGCCTGTGTTTTATATACTCCAGTTGAGGAGATTGGTGGCGAGGGTCGCTTGATGCGGGCTTGTCGTATCCTGAATATATGTATAATGTTTTTTTTTTACCCCCCTTCAGAAGTTATATACAATATATGTATAATATTTCCAGTGCAACTTTATGGATAATTGTCACCGAAATAATTAGTACACTAACTTTTTCCTTTTTCTTAATTTTTTCTTTCTGATGTTATATTTGAATTTTCCTTTCTTGCTGATTTTCTTGAGCTTTCCATAGAAGTCATTATTGATGCCTATGTGAAAGCTGGCCTTGTTCTCCAGAAGGATGCGTGCCGCAAGTTGAAGGTATTGTATTTTTTATCATTGTATGATCTGTGGCACCTTGTAAAATGACTCAATGTTATAATAGTTTTGATAATGGTGTTATTTCTGTTTCTTAATTTTTTATTTCTTTTGCAATGTTCTTTGGAGACATTCAACTTAATAGCTATGTTCATTAGGTCTGTATTGTAGACTTCCAATCTAGTGCACTATTATCATCCATGTAAAATAATTGTAAGATTTACTTTGAAACCGAGTCACTGTTATTTCTTTTTCTTGAAAACTGGGGGCTTTTCTAAGGTTTCCTCTAATGGGATTTTCTTAAGATCGTAGCATTAGGGTGGTGATACATTCCACTACTATGATTTAGTTCTGTTAAAATAATCATAAAAAATAACCAAGAGGATATCTAGAAAATGGAAAAAAAAAATACAGAAAACAGAACATTAAGTGGTAATGATTAAATTGGCTTTTTTTTTGCAGTTGCATGGGACAGTCATGAATGTAAAGTTTAGGAAAAGGTACCTTTATGTCTTCTCTTCCGTCTATTGTCATTTCCGGAAACTATACCGGAGGAGTCTTTTGTGGTACATGGTGCACAGCTGGACCATCCACAGATCATTCACAAAAACGGATGGTAGAGATCAACTAAAAGCTACCTATGATGGACACATTTAGATTTAATCTGCTCCCTTCCATTGTGGAGAATGGTCAGTGGATGCCCCAGATGTGTATCGCATACGGGCTGTATATATATGCTTTCCTTTTTAGCTTTGATAATAGATTTTGCACCGTCAAAGTTTGGAAAAGGAATGGTAAAACCCAAATTTGATAAATTTGCAATTGCGCGTCATTACTGTCACTGTTTAGGACGGTGAGAACGAGGAAGATCGGTTCCTTTGATGCTCACGACATTTTCGAACAATATGGGTCTGAAGAGTGGGGTGAGTATGTGATTGGTGAGGCGCATTTATCGCAGAGGTTCAAGTATGATCGAAGTGGCTACTATCATCGTTGCGCTTCAATTCCCTTCCCTTAGAGCCTCGAAGATTAATAGTTCTTTTTTTTTCTTTTTCTTTTTATTTACATGTTCAATAAGTGTTTTTATTGGGTAGTGTTTGAATTAGGATTTTGTCTCTCTTACTGTATGGATTGTAAATCAGATTATGCAATTATTTTATTTTCAAAGAAGAAAAATCTATTTGTGTTTTTCATTTCTTGATGTATGCCCTTTTTGTTACTAAACAAAATTCATGCTTCACCTTCATCGCTCATTGTTGGGAACCTTTGTGGATGCACTGTCTATGCACATGTACATGCTGTGTATGTGATATACTTCTTTTCCCAACTAACAAAGTGGTATACTTCCCTTCCCAACTAACAAAGTGGTCGTTACAAAAGATTTGCCATGTTTTTGATCAAGATTTATAAGGTCAAGGGGGATATTAAAAGTAATCTGATTATAGGATCTTTGTACATATGTATATGTCTGGGATTAATAGCTATTTAATTTTGGTTAGATATTCAAAAGTATGTCGATAACAATATCGCATGTCAATATTAGTTATTTTTATGGGGTTATAAATTTTTGATATTAAAAAGTGATATTATTTTAGTCTGGTTATAATTTTTTAAAATTGAGATGTAGCATTGAAAATATTTGATATTATTAGTAGTCGACTGTTAGCTTTCTGCTGAAGGTCGGATAGTTTCCCCCTAAGCACGTTTTAACTCCTCGAATGGGAATATTAATATCTTGGGAAATGATGGGATGCCCAAATGCTAAAAATCAAAGGGGGGGGGGGGTGGTCAGTGCTGACGCAACGATGTTCGATGGTCTTACACGCGATTTAGGTATGGTCTGAGCATAGAGATCCTAGTGAGAGAAAATCGCAATAAATGTCATAAAATATGTGTTTCTTAGTTACATGCATGGGCGAAGATATTTCTAGTGAGAAAAACCATGCAATTGTTTAATAACGAAAAAGTTTATATAAGGGTGACGCTGTAAACAATTAAATTAAGGCTGACTTCAAAAATTCGTTAGAAAATCTTATTTTGATACTAAAAAATCTTTAAATTGATCATCTTAATCTCAAGAGCTATGGAAATGAGAAAAAATGAATTTAAGTCTTGGAAATAGTCTTATCTTGTAATATATTTTTGGACCGTTAATTTTCGAGTATTCATAGATCTCTTCAAGTGTTCATAGAACTATTCGATATATATTATTTTAAGGGTGTAGTTTTTGCGACTTTAAACAATCACCTCCAAATTTTATTATAACATGTAATTTTGGCATAAAAAATTCTTAATATTATTTGAAAATATTTTTTTATATTTAACTATAAAGTTTTAAACTCAAAACTTGATTAAATCAAGTTGATTTATAAACATATAAAAATCTTGAAAATTGACGGTCTAGATAAAAATCTTGAAAATCTGACGGTCTATAAACATATAAAAATCTTGAAAATCTGAGGCTCAAAATGTTTTTTTGTTTTCATATTCATATATTTCAATTCGAAGGTTTTTCAACATTAAAACGAGCTTTTTTCGATGAAGTTTTGAGGTGCATATGGAATTCTACATCTTAAGGTTGCAACTTCATGTAAACTTTTTCTTTTGAAGCTTTAAATTTTATAATTAGATATGAAAGTAAATTTCCAAACCATCACAAAGATTTCTAATACCGAAAAACATATTCTAGCCGTATTTAAAGGTGCGGCCTACTTTGATTGTTTGGAGCGTCAGCCCTATATAAATCACACCCTTCGAAAAAAACACTTGCCAGGCAATATTTAAGTGAACCAGTTCGACTTGGGAAATTCCGAAGCCGGATTGAGCTGTTCATTTATCATCCATGATTTGCTTCTAATGTGAATCTGAGAATGAACTACAGTTACCATGAATGCATAATTTATAAAAAAAAATTGATTACAATTTCAATGGCCAGAACGAATCTGAGAATAAACTACAGTTACCATGAATGCATAATTTATAAAAAAATTGATTACAATTTGAATGGCTAGAACCGGGAAAAGTACAAACTGCACGCCCATAAGATTTGATTGCATCACAAGGCTACAGTTTCTTAGACATACCTGAACTATATTTACAGTAATGAAGCATGAACCATATTAATGTACTCTGTTCTTTCCTCCAAACAAGACAGACACCATTAACGCCAAACTCCACCATATTTTAGTAGTTTTAGTTGTACTACGTTTGTTTTCAAGCTTTTCTCCTTATTTTTTTTAGTAGAGAGAGAGAAAGAGAGAGGACATTTCAATCCTTTTTTTTATCTTAGTGACAGTTACCCCTGATACATCATCTCTATCACAAAAAAAAAATTCTTGTCATAGTAAATTTTTCCAATGTTGATAATAACTTTGATAATTTCCCCAAAAAAATTATTTTATCTTTTATCCTCTTTTCTTGAATGTTAATTTGGGATGAAACTCTATACGTCATATTGTGGCACCCGCCACTTTTACCGTCCTTGCCTAGAGCACATTCGCCCAGTTAAAATCAATTTATTAAAATATTTTTATGCTTCTATTACTATAAAAATACAATTTTTCTCTTGATAATAAATATGAAAGAAACTCATCATCTACATAAAAACAACTCAAAGAATCAGTTTAGGCAGATGGGGAAAAATTTGTAAGAAAGTGACAATTTGACATGTATGTTAAGCTAGTAAGTTGGGAAGTGAATTTTGATATTTTAATTTCTTTATATACTAGAAACTGTTTCCAACTTTATCATTTATGTAATTTTCTGATTTGTTGAATATGTGAATTGCTTATAATTTGATTTCACATTTTACTTATCTCACTAAAAATTTGTTCCAAAATACATAGTTTATTAAAGACCCAATAATCATTCAATAAAATCCTGAAAAAAGAGATAATCATGATATTATCCTGAAATTCCTTGGTGATAATATCCCGATAAAAATAATTGTCACTACAATTCTTGTATATCATGTGTGTTTGTATGCAGTAGGGATGGCTATCTTACTATACCACTTTCTCTTGGGGAGAGATAAGGGCAAGGGCATGTGGGGGTGGGGCACCAGTGCTGAGAGATGGGGAACATGGCTTCTGCCTCCCTCCTAAAGAAAAAGGAACCCTAAATGTCAAGGTTTCTACTTTCCAATTTGTTTTTTCTTATTGTATAAGTCAATCTGTGAACTTCCCTTGGGGCCCATTTGTGATACTTTATATTTGGGTAGGTAAGCATGATATTTTCATTCAAAAAACTTAAGGATCCATGTCAAGGCATCCACACCACTATGCTGAGGCCCTAAAAAAAACCTAGTTTCCAAGATATTGTTTTCAAGTGCCCATTGTTAAGAATGTGGAGCACTTTATACTGTACTTCTCTTCCTTTATTGTATTGTAAATAAAAAAATGTTTTTGGTGAGTCAGCCCATTCATGCATCCCTTTTCATGGTTATAGATCTCAAATCATTAGGTATCCATTTCCGTTCTGTATTTATGATTTTGGAGCTCCAAAAATGCACATATGATGTTTTTTTAAAAAATGAAATGAACGGTCGACATGAAAAGATACAAGATAGATCACTTTTAGGACTTTTCTTTGTTATGTTTTTACAAATTTATTATTGTGGCTTTCGAGATGATAAATCCATAAAATTTTGGATCTAAAATCATCCAAATGAAATCTAAGTGACTTATCTAGTTTTCCTTTACCAAAACCTGCTTTTTTACTTATCACTAATAAATAAAATTGACACAAGTTTTTCCATGTTTAACCTCGAAAAGGTCTTAATAGAAGGTTCTTATTTTTGTCATTGATTGTGTGGGTTTGAGAAGAAGATAGCATTTAAAATATTTAAAAGACCAGAAAAAGAAAGGTGAAATTCTCCCTTATCTCATAGAGACTTGAACCAATGTATTCAAGACATATCAAGAAATGATAATGACAGTTGAAAATTGATGATAATGACAATTGAAATTTTTTATGATTAGCAGGGCATGAAAGCGGTGACTTTTAAAATTGAATTGATAGCATGAAAACTGACAAAAATTTCAAGGGTTTGGACTGTTGGGCAGTGATCAAAGTGTTGCCCAATTAATTTTAAGATTCATGTAACAATTCTAAACTTTTGAAAAAAAAAATAAAAAAAAAGAAAAAAAATAAACTTTTAATACATGATGATTCGTTTGAACATGATGGTCCTTAGGGATCATCTATACTTTTTAAAACTTTTTGTTTAAAAGCTTTATTGCTTCTTTGCTCTTGCCACGTCCACTAAAGGACGTGGGCTTTAGTAGTTTAAAGCGTAAGCTAACGCTCACACCTGTAACGTAATAAAATAATATATTAGTAGAATTTAAATTCAGAGAGATGAGGACTCCTACTTTAGAAAACTTATGAGATTTTTCTCTCTGGTCGAAACATAGTAAACTCCTCTCTCTAGCCAAATTTTTATCGTAAGCTCCTTTTCAAGTATTTGTAGGTAAGTGACATTGTCTTCCTGAAAAATAGTTTGTTTTTAATAAATAGTGATATTTCCGTCCAGGATCTTTATTTTATAAGTTGTGTGTAAGTGACATTGTCTTCCTGAAAAATAGTCTGTTTTTAATAAATAGTGATATTTCCGTCTAGGATCTTTATTTTATAAGTTTTGTGTGTAAGTGACATCGTCTTCCTGAAAAATAGTCTGTTTTTAATAAATAGTGATATTTCCGTCTAGGATCTTTATTTTATAAGTTTTGTGTGTAAGTGACCTCATTGTCTCAAAAAATAATCCATTCTTAATAAAAATAAAAAATAATAATTATTTTTACTTATTATCATGAATTTTAGGCGAGATAAATTTTATGGGCACGTGACCTCATTATCTTGAAAAATAATCTTTTTAATAAAAATTGTGATATTTTATCTATGTTATAAATTTTGAATGCTATAAATTAGAAAAATAAATTTATTTATTTTTCTTGTCTATTGTTAGAAATAAATGTGATATTTCTGCTTTTCGTAAAATTGTGATATTTCTTTCTACTGTTTGAATATTTAGACATTGTAAAATTCATGTGCAAATGACTGCCTTATTATTTAAAAATTGACATTTTTGCAATTGATTATAGTATTGTTGTGAAATGTTTATTTGCAAATTAACAGGCCATAAATTGTGATAATTCCGTATTCTTGAATTTCTATAAGAGTTTTCCTATA